ACAGTCCCTGAGCTGCTTCTGTCAAGGCTAGCACTCTACCATCTGAGTCACAGCACCACTTCTGGATTTTTCTGTTTATGTGGTACTAAGGAATCAAACCCAGGGCTAGCCTGGCTCCTCAGGCTAGAAGGAGGCCTGAGGTCCTTCTCAATGGAAAGGAGAATGGACTGTTAGGCTGTCTTTTTCAGGGTTCTTTAGAGAAAGAGAATAGTAGAAAATCTTTTTTTTGGGGGGCTATTGATTTTACAATGCTAAGCAAACACTCTACCACTAAGCCACATTCCCAGCCTACTTTTGGTTTTTGTGGCTCACTATTGTAGCCCAGGCTGGCCTCAAATGCCCCATTCTCCTGTATCACTCTGGTCAGTACTGCAATTACAAGTGTACAACACTATGTTTATTCCTTTTTATTGTCTTTAAAATAGGATCTTGCTACATATGAGTCTGGCCTTGAATTTGCAATCCTACTGTCTCTGCTTTCCAAGTTCTGGAATTACAGGCTTTGTCACCACACCCAGCAAATATTTATTCTTAAATGTTTAACAAAGTTCCAAAACAACACTTCCTACCAGCTATAGGTGGCAAGAGATACAATAACATGGAATCAAGTTGTTTAAGAATGGAATCAAGGGTCACCATGATCTCAGGCTGAAGGAACTGCTTACTTTTTACCATATTTCTTGATTACACTTTTAGTCAAGACTTTCCACCACACACACACACACACACACACACACACACCCTTACACACACACACACACACACACACACACACACACACACACACACACACACACACACACACACACACACACACACACACACACACACACACACACCATTTCCCCCAAATTTCATCTTTTTGTTTCTGCTTGAAAGCCATATTTCCCCCATTTCCTTGGCCTGCTGCTTGTGGTTTTAGGAGCTTCTGTTTCTTGCAATTCTTTGTGCTGGATATTTGCCGGTCTTTCTCCAACCCTCCTCCAAAACTGGAAATGGAAAACCCTTATACTTTTTATAAGTTCTTTTAGGAACTAAAAGGTGCAATCTAGCTGGAGGGACACACACAAACTCGTATATGGGCAAAATGAAAAAAAAAGACTAACTAAATTGCCCTAAAAAGACAAGGTTTCACAGAAGGTGTGACCCTTCAGCTGAGATAGGTGGTATTGCAGACAGAACTTCTCAAGAAGCCAATTTTGCTGGAATCTGTTGCTCCATGTGGCTAAGAGGAAGTATGTGGGAGTTGGGCCAGGAGACAAGGCATCAAGCTGGAAATGCAAGCTGGTGTTATGCAGTGAGGACCAATGGATTCGATGCCAGAAAGTTTGGTCTTTATCTGCAATCACAGTTAGGAAAGAATTTTAAGCAGGGGATAGACAACTCCATGGACTAAGTAAGTCTATTTGCAGAAGCCCTTCCATAAAATGTCCTTCATGTGCATGTAAAGAAAGCTGGGAGGCTTGTCACTTGGACAGCTATAGCAGACAAACCATGATAAAGTCTGATAAAAAAACAAAAATCTTAAATAGAAACTGAGCCTTAATTATATTAATAATTTTTATTATAAAAGGCATAAAAGAGTTTGGTATAGTGATGCACACCTGTAACCACAAGTATGGGAGTCAGAGGCTGGAGAATTACCAAGTTCAAGGCCATCCTGGATTACAAAGCAAGGTTCTATCTCAAATAAAAGCTAAAGGTTGGAGAAGTAGCTAATGATAGTGTTTGCTTCATACTGTCAAGGCCTTGGTTTGGTCTCAAACACTACAAATTAAAGTTGAGTTACACACAGTCAGAACTAAAAATCCATGGTCCAGAAATTGACAACCACTCTGTATATATAATGAAAACATATGTTTAAAGTTTTCTAATGTAATAAAACCCAATTAGAGTGTATGTTAGGAAATTATTATAGTAATAAATATATATGTGGAATCTGTGTCTAAAGTACAAAAGTAATACCAAATTGGGAATAGGTAAGTTAGTAAACCCAAACATAATTTGGGAATCACCAAAAGTAGACAAAGAACCAGTTTTAAATTATATTTCTAAAGAGTGAAAGGGATAGCAAAGGCAACTAAAACAAAGAACCATAGATCAGGAATAAATCATTCATTCTCTTGTAGCTTTTCATCACCCTCCCTCCTTTCTGCTGATTGTTTCTTTTCATCATTCCTAGAGATTTTATAAACCTTCTATTCCAATAGTTTTTCCTCCAATTCAACTTTTAGTGAGAAGATGCAGCAAAAAAAAAAAAAAAAAACTGTATGAAAATTATCACTATCTGAAACAAATCGTTTAAATAGGGATACAGGTAGACCCATTGCAACGAGATGTTCAAGTCGTTATGTCGAAAAACGAACTTTACAACTTTGGGGGGGGGGGGGTAGCGGGGAGGATTGGGGGGGAGGATGGGAAGGGATGGGAAGGGGAAACAAAGGAGGAGGCTACAATGCTTGGTAAGAAATGTACTCATTATCTTGCCCATGTAATTGTAACCCCTCTGTACAGTATTTTCACAATAAAAAAAATAAAAATAAATAAAAATAAAAAAGAATAGTTTGATATTATAAAATCTATTATCATCAGTCCAAACTTTGATATATCCATGGAAATGTGGGGGGTTTTTTTAGTTCCCAGTACAAAGGTCATGTCTAAAATCCTAGTTATTCAAACTGAGATCTGAGGATGGAGGTTCGAACCCAGCCCAGGCAGACAAATCTGACTCTCATCTCCAATTAACTAGCAAAAAAGCATGAAGTCTGAGAGGCAGGGAGAAAAAAAAGGAGAAAATGAAGTTGGATCAAAAGGTAGAGTGTCACTCATGAGGAAAAAGCCAAAGGGAGAGCAAGAGGCTCTAAGTTCAAACCATGGTACCAGCACAACAATTAACAACGACAAATTCTAAACTCAAATTTCAGACTAGAGACCCTGACCCTGCCACACCACACCTCAAAAACTGACTTGTGCCTACAACTTACTTTATGAGTACAGGCTATGTGATTCCGTCTTAGAGAAGAGGAACTATCAAAAATTCTATTTAAAAAAGGGGGGGGGAGGAAGAGTGGGTATAAAATCAACTTCGAGCTAATCCTGAGATGACAGGCTGGCCCTTTGCCTTAATATTCTACAGTATCTAAGAGGAAAAGGCATAATTTCTGTGCAGGGATGCCTTCTGGCAGGAGCCCAAGGATGTCACTCAACCGTTTCGATTTGGAAAAAGTCAAAGGAGTTTGGATTGAGGCATCTCAAAGAAGGAAATTTTCAGAAACACAGAGATTGTTAAAGACACAGGGCGAGAGCGATTCCCGGGAGAGCTGAGACCGGTATCAAATGATTGATAAGGGGCGGGGATAAATGTTGAGCTGAGGGGATTCCACCACCTGTTGGAAAGCGTGAACCCGACCGCACAGGTTTCCCGGCGGCATCGGGGGAGTCGGGACTCAAGAGCTGGCTCCGGTACCCGGCTCCACGGGCAGGAGGGGATCCCGGCGGTTGAGATCTGGGACCTCGAAGCCCTCCCAGCCCGGCTCCCCTTACCTTCTGATGGAAGTAACGAACTGAGTAGTTCTTAGCTACCGTGTGGCGGGGTGTGGGTTTGGTTGGTGAGTGGAGGCTGCCGAGGGCCCTCGAAGCCGGGTGGACGGCGGGGGCGGCCCCCGGTGCCAGCAAAGGCAGGAGCAGGAGCAGGAGGACCGGGCGGCCCATGGCTCCGGCCGGCGGCAGCAAGGCGGGCGGGAGGCTCCCTCCCCCCCGCAGCAGCGCGCAGCCTTAAGCCCGGCCCGGCCCCCGCAGCTCCGCCCGTCCGTCGCAGACCCGCTCCTCCCCCGGGAAGCCCACAGCCCGGCAGCCGGCTCCGCCGCGGTCCTCCGAGGGCGCCGCCTCCACGCCACGCCCCCCTCGTGCCACCCCACCCCCCCCCACCCCGTTTTAGGGCCTACCTTCGCCGCGCCCGCACGCCAGGTCGGCCGGGGCCACCGCCTCCCCCGAAGCGCCGTCCCGCCCTCACCGACGGCGCCCCGCCAGGCCGTCCTCCCCGGGGTGGAGCTCCATCCCTGACTTCACTGTCACCGCCCAACGTCGCCCGGGGCGGCCGGGGGACGCCACGACCCCCGGTCCTCCGCAAGACCTCCAAAGGGTAACAGTAACGACGGCTGGGAGAACAGTTTATTAGCAGCTCCATCGGTCAGGAGTACACAAAGGCACCGATCGCCTCATCTAAGCCTGCCCCGCGCTGCCCTCCCGTGTCTCGTGAGCCGCTGTCGTCCCCCCCACCCCACACACACACCCCTGATGATGGGGACGCGGGCTCCGGATGCGGGCGCAAGTGCTGGACCACGCCGGCGGCGGGAGTGCAGCGCGGCTCCGCAGACCGATCCGCACCACCTCCACAGGACCGCCACTCCAGACTCGGCTCCCGGCACCTGGTACCCCGCCGCCAAGCCCAACCGCTCCCACGGGGACTCGGTTCTGGGGTCAACCAGAACAACCCAACACTGCCGGCAAAGCCCGTCCCCACGCGGGGCCGCGGGATTCCCCGCCCCGCCGGCGGGCCCCGCCCCCTCCGCTTCACCTGGCTTCCGGTAGCCCGCTCCAGCCCCGCCTCCCGCCAGCGTCTCTGCCCCGTCCACACACGCACGCGCGTGCGCACACACACATACACGGAGGAGCAGCGGCCCCGCCTGCCTTCCCGGGGGCGCCCAGCCCTCTGCCACCCGGCCTGCACCCCCTGTTTCACTCCGCCTCATCCCTGCGTCCAGCTGGCTCGAAACCAGCTTCACAGCTCGCACTACAGTCGACCCCGCGCCGTGAGGAAAATGGTTGCTCCCCTCAAGCCCCGTCTCTCCACACAGTTGGACGAAAAAGGTCGCTTCCGAACGCTCGCCGGATTTGGCGACTAGCTAAGCGTCTCTCCCGCAACGCCTTTTCTGATTGGGTCTGAGAAAGCCGCGTCGTGACGTCATTTCCGGCGGAAGGGGACGCGGGAGATTCGACTGGTAGGAGCTGGTGTCGCCGCTGCCGGGTTCAGTCGCCCGGCGCTGCTCGGCCTCTGCCCGGGCGGCTCCCCACGTTCTCCGCCTCAGGTGAGGAGTTGCGGGAAAGGGGCTCTTGGCGAGCGCCCGAGGGTGGCGTGCAACTGTGAGTCTGCGTTTCACGTCGGGCGGCCATGACGGTAGAAGGGCGTGCTGGTCGGTGCTGCCTGCACGCCGCGCACGTTTGTTTATTGACATGTCCTGTGTTGGATGGACGTTTTTCATCCTAGCGAGAGCTTGGCTATGTGCAGATCAGGACTGGCTACCAGGCAGTGTTGCGGGGTCTCTTCCAAAGTGTAAGGCTTTCGGCGAGAAAAAGGACCTCGCAGAAAGGAATAAAGAGATGTCCAGGAACGTTTATTGGGGTACGCCCCCGGGCGAGCTGCCTGGTCGGGATCAGAGAGGTCGTCGCACGGAGCTCAGTGGCAGCAGAGCTTTCTTAGGTTGGGGTACAGGCGGAACTTGTAGGGAGCGGGGACTTGGGGCACGTAGCTTGTCTTGCCAGTTGGAGCGGTCTTAGGCCAGGCCACTCGAAGAAGGGTTGGCTCGGAGGGTGTTTGGGTTCGGGACGTGATCTTTCTGGACAGCAGCCCTCACGGCCTGACAGTTTTCCCCGGCTGCCTACTTCCTCCAGCGACCTGACACAAAGTATCTTGAGAGCACGAAGACAATACCCGAGCCTGCTCAAACCAGGAGCTTGAGAGTTTCCTAGAACTCCCTTCCTCATCTCCCACCTCCGCAGCTCAGATCCCATTTCCCTCTCCACTGTTTACCGGCATGGCTGTAGTTCCACCCCAAGACAGCTTTGTAGCTGTGGGTAGTAGCCTCCCGGCTGTTTCTCCGGCTTTAGCTGGCCACGTTCCAATCGGATCTCCACATTCATAACCTGATAAAGTGCAAATTTAATCCTGATACTCCGCTTTTAAAACACGTCAGCTGCTCCTGTTTGCCTTTAGGTGTGAGTCTAAAGTCCCTTAATGCAGTTTACAAGCCCATTCTTGTCTGACCCCTGCCTGCCTCTCCAGCTTCAGTGATTTTCCACACTCTAGCTAGTCAGCTCCAGCAATACACAAAATCTGTTTATTACTGGCATTGGTATTATTTGTGGTCCTGGGATTGAACCTAGTGGCGCTCGCACATATCAGCTACCAGTGAACCATGACCCTGAGCCCCCAAATCCCCAAATGCCTTCCTTGTTCTTCAAGAACATCCCTTACTTTGAGGTCTTCAAGAACATCCTCCCTTACTTTGAGGTCTCTGCTAAGCCCTATTCCCAACCTAGCTTGTTCTTACTCATTCCTGTTTCTCAGTTTGAAAATAATTTTTTTAAAGATCAAGCATCCTTTTTCCTAACCCCAGAAGCCTTGAGTCTTAGGGAACTAAGTAATTTTTCACTCACTATACAGTACATTAATTGCTTCTCCCCTCCCCTTGCCAAAGGGAACTTTTTTTTTTTCTACCCCGCCTTGGAGCTTGAATTCTGTGCTATCATTGATCGTTTTGCCTCAGGCTAGCATTCTACCATTTAAACCTTCATTTTGGTGCATTTTTAAGTGTTTCCCTCTATACCAACGACTGCCTGGGTTACAATAGTGAAAGGATATATTCCTCTTGTGATTGAATTTTTCAGTCGAGCTAAGGAAGTGAATAACAGAGCCAGGTATGCAGGAGAGAGTTAGTCCAAAGGATCAGGAATTTGAAACCTGCCTGGGCCACATTGCAAGACCCTGTCTTAGTGGGAGAATCAGAAAATGAATAACAGAACTTTGAGATTTGGTTGGACTGAGAAAATCTTGAGGAGATTGATAGTTAAAAAGATAACACTCAGGCTGGGAAGGTGGCTCAGTGGTAGATCACTTGCCTTGCATGCCTGAGGCCCTGGGTTCCATTCCTCAGCACCACATAAGCAGAAAAAAAAAACAAACAAACAGAATTGGCACTGTAGCTCAAGTGGTAGAGCGCTAGCCTTGAGCTGAAGAGCTGAGGGCCAGCGCCCAGGCCCAGAGTAAAGTAATGATCAATCCTTAAAAGAAGGCTAGAGCTTGACACCTTAGTATTCATGACCCTGAGAAAAGACCAGTGGTGCTGGAACATTTTCAGAAAAGGCAACTGTAGGAGATATGTCTAGGGAGGCAGGTGTGCACTAGAGATCATACTGTTTAAAAGGCTAATGTAGCAGCATGAACAGGAGATGCTGGTGATTTGTAGTAATGTAATAATGTAGCGTATGCAAGAGGGAATGAATGCTGCTTTATTGTTTTGTTTTGTTTTTTCTGGAACTAGTATTTGAATTCAGCTTTGCACTTATTTGACTTGCTCACTTGGCTGACACTCTATCATTTGGGCCATGCCTCCAGCCCAGCTTTTTGGTGGTTATTTTGGAGATGGAGTTTCATGAACTTTTCTGCTTTGGCTGGCTTCAAACTGAGATTTCCCTCAGACCTCAGCCTCCTAAGTAGCTAGGATTGCAGGCATGAACCACTGGCACACAGTGATGGTTTAAAATGTAGCAGTGATTCAAGGACTTACTGATGGATGCGAGGAAAAAGGAGAAATAAATGATGTGTTCCCACATATCTGGCTGGCCTTGTGACTGGTTAGAGAATAGTGCCATTTGCTGAAATGGAAAACATTTTTTAGAAAGATTTGAAGGGAAACTTAATTCAGATTTTATTGCCTTTTACTCGTTGCAATATTAATGAGATAAAATTTGGCCCTTAGATAAGTAGTTGCAATATAGAAGTCTAAAGTTTGAATATACTTTTTTTTGTGGGAGGAGTTGTGGGGATCTTGTTAGTGTTTTGGGTTTTGTTGTTGTTTCATTTGTCTCTTCATTGACGGTTAAACATTGTATGATCCCCATAAGTCATATATTCCTGAACATTAGAGCCTAGTTTTGTTTCTTCTTTGATGTTTTGTTTTGTTCAAGTTTTTCAGGTAAAATAAAAAGAGTAAACTAATAATATTGGCCTTTTCAGTTCCCAAGTTTACTAGTTTTTAGACATAATTAGTCCACTAGAGGGCAGTAAGCCCTTAGATATACAGTGACAATTTAGCTTTCAAAGAACAGCAATTAATGCTTGCATAATTGATTTACAAACAATCCAATATCTCATGCTTGTTTTTTTTTTAGTGTTAGTAACTTGTGTGTCCAATTATGCAGAAAACATTAAGATATGAAATGTCAGTTTAAATTATCCTACCATACTTATCTTGTTCTAGTCATTTTACAGATTTAATCTATTTCCTAAAGCTAGCATTTGGTAAGTCAGGTAAAGAATAGTTTAGAACAATATAGAATTTCATTTTAAAGCCCTAAAAAAGATACTCTGTCTTCTATCTTCTACTCTATATTGTGATATAACCACTATTGTGAAAAAATTAGGCATATGCAATTAGCTGTAATAAGTATTAAGTATATATATGGAGCTCCTCTGTATATGTCACATGCAAATGTCATACCTTTTATAGATATTCAGTGCCTGCTGAATGAAATGCAAGAATCCTTTACTTTAATATGGTCTCTTCAAAATTTAGAGTTAACTTATTTTGCAATTAGAGTTTGAATTCAGGAGCTTTTTACTTGTTAGACAGACACTCTGCACTTGAACTACAACTTCAGCCCTTTTGGCTCTGAATATTTTTGAGGTAGAATCTCACTTTCTGTCTGAGCTGAACTAGACTATGACCCCATATATATGCATCCTTTATAGCTGACAAGACACAAACCATCGTGCCCAGCCTTTCCTATTGAGATGGGGGTGGAGGGAATCTCATGAGCTTTTTGCTTAGGCTGATGTTAAGCCACTATCCTCCTAATCTCAGCCTCCCAACCTTAGTGTCCCCAGTAGCCAGGCTGATAGGCACAGCTGCTGGCATTCAGTCCCCATTAAAACGATGGTGAAATGAATTGAATTACGTGCCTTCTCATCTGTGTAATTCTCACCGTCAATCTCAAGCACTTTTTCAGGGTCTCTGACACAGTAATTGGCTGTTTACATTGCATTGACTCTTAAATACTAGTCAGTGATTCTCTTAGCAAAGATTTATTCATTCTTGACAAAATGATGTATAACAACTTTATTCTGAACAGTATGGGAAAAAAGTGATCTGTAAAGATGAGGAGGTGAAAGAATAAACTGGGATTATCGCTGGGATTTGAATGCTTTTTTGGGGGGGGGAGGGGAGTCCAGTCATGGGGCATGAGCTCTGGGCCTGGGCGCTGTCCCTCAGCTCTTCAGCTCAAGGCTAGCGCTCTACCACTTGAGCCACAGCACCACTTCCGGCTTTTTTTTTCCTGCTTATGTGGTGCTGATGAATCGAACCCAGGGCCTCATGCATGCAAGGCAAGCGCTCTACCACTGAGCCACCTTCCCAGCCCCTTGAATGCTTTTTATGTAAACAAAATGCATGCTTATGTTCCATTGGTTTTCACTGTGGTTTTCTGAGAGAAACTCTTCTTTTAAGGCTCATTATTTCATAGTAGAAACAAAACTATTCACTACCAATAAGAAAACTAGAAAGAAAAAAAGATTTTTTCCAGGTATGGTGAGAGTTCCAGAAAATAGATATCTTATGTTTATAAAATAACCTCTCCTTTATTTTTCTTGCGTGGCCAGGCTATAACAATATGCTGATAGGTATAAAGTCCCTGAAAATAAAGACACTTTTTCTATAAAGACTTGAGGTGTGCTGAGCTTATGGGTATATATGACTGCAGTGGGCTAAAAACTTTCTTAAATTACAAGATGTTGCTTATTTTCATTCAGAGAATATTCATTGTACTTATGTGGTAAGCACTGAGAATATAATAGAGTACAAAACAGACTATTGACTATCTTTATGAAGGCTTAGGGATTAGTGTGGAATAGAACAAACAAAAATAAGTTCATGTAAAGGATTGTTAATAGATTATGATTAGGTAAAACAGGTGATGTCAGAAAAGCTAAGGAAGGAAATGTCTACTAATATAAAATGGGGCTATATGACTAGGTAACATTACTGTAGGATGTGAAGAAGCCTGCTATTGCAAGGCCTAGAGGAGAATATTGTAGGCAAAGGTATTATGAACATAAAAGCTTGAGACAAAGAGTCATTTTGTGTGAGGAGCAGAGAGAGAAGGTCACCTTGATTCCGTATAGAAGAAAGGTAGCCTCTTCAACAATTGGTGCTGGGAAAGCTAGTTACCTAGTGCAGAAGACTGAAACAAGACCTGTCTTTCACATTATAAAAGAACTAACTTGAATTAGTTAGATCTTAGTGTAAAACTTTGAAACTACTATATGAAAATAGGGAAAACTCTGAAAAAGCATAGGTGATTTTCTGAATAGGGATCTAATTGTCCAAGAAATCAGAACAAGAATTGACAAATGAGACTATCAAATTAAGATTTTGCACAGCAAAAGAAACAATTATCAGAACCAAGAGCCACAAAGTTGGAGATAATCTCAATTATTGAATGAATAAAGGATTAATATCCAAAAATATATGAAGAGCTCAAACACCAAAAAAATTATCCAGTTCATAAGTGGGCACACAAATTGAACAGTTCTCAGCTTAAGAAATACAAGTGCCACTCATGCCTGTAATTCTAGCTACACAGGAGGAAGATATCTGAGGATTGAAGTTAAAGCTAGCCCCAGAAGCAAAGTCCATGAGATTCTTACCTCTAGTTAAACACCAAAAAGCCAGAAATGAAGTTGTGGCTCAAGTGGTAGAGCTCTAGCCTTGAGACAAAAACCCAAGAACAAGTACCAGGTCCTGAATTCAAGCCCCAGGGCTGAAACAAAAAGGAAAAAGAAAAATGCTAATACATGAAGAATTGTTTAACATTCTGACCCATAAAGGAAATGTAAATCAAAACTATGCTGAGAAGATTCAGTCTTGTCCAAGTCAGAATGGCAAGAAACAGCAAAGCCGGGTGTGGGTGGCTCATGTCTGTAATCCTAGCTACTCAGGAGTCTGAGATCTAAGGATCCGGGTTCTTAGCCAACCCAGGAAGGAAAGTACATGAGTCTCTAGTCTCCAGTAAACCACCAGAAAACCAGAAGTGGCACTGTGGCTCAAGTGGTAGAGCACTGTGCTTGAGCTGAAGAGCTGAGGGACAGAACATCGTCCTGTAAAGTACACATTCTATATCTTATAAAGGGTAAATAGGATGTGATATTCTTTCTAGACTACTGTAATGGAGCATTTGTTCAGAAATAGTATTTGCTTGAGCCACTACTTTCAACTTAATTTTCAATTAAGCAGAAAAAGTTTAATTTTCCAATTACACTCATTGCCTTCCAAACAAATGCTGCCTTAACTTTGGAAATAAAACAAAAGAAACTTAGCTGAAATGGTTTTATGTGGTTTTCCTTATAATTAGAAATTTGCTATTCATTCACATTGTTGTTTTGTGTTGTAGGTCACAGTAGAAACGCATGAATGGAAGAAGAAAATTTCTTCTTGCCTCAGTACTTGCTCTCCAGAATTCAAGTTTTATCTATCCATCATGTCAGAAGTGCTTCTCTCGGATAATCCTGGTCTCCAAAAGGTAAAAGTAAAGACTGGGAGAATAAATAAAGTATTCACTACAGACTTCCCTGGCTCAAAGGCAATTGAGGACTAAAATCACTATAACAGTACAGGATTCTCTCAGGGATTCTTGGTTCTTATGTAAATCCCAGAATAGAATTGGCTGGTAATCCAGTTTCTAGAGGGGAGTTTCAAGTTACTGCCAACACTTTGACCAATACCTACTTCAGAGAAGAAAAAGTAACTTCTCAGAGACCAAATCCCAGTCCTGGTGTTAAGTCATAGCCCGCCTGCCTGCGCCTCCATCCCCACCCCATCCCACCCCCACGCCCGCCGCTTTTTTTTTTTTGCCACTCCTGGGGCTTCAACTCAGAGCGTAGACAGTATCCTGAGCCTCTCTTTGCTCAAGGCCAGTACTCTACCGCTTGAGCCATAGCACGGCTTCCAGCTTTTTCTGAATAGTTTGTTGGAGATAAAAGTCACATGAACTTTCCTTCTGCAAGCTGGCTTTAAACCATGATCCTCAGATCTCAGCTTCCTGAGAAGCTAGGATTACAGGTGTAAACCACTGGCCCCTGGCTCATAGCCCACATTTATACTATATCTCTGGAAATAAAGAAGAGGTTTTTTGTTTTTGCATGATCCTCAAGCATGTTTTACTTCAGTGAAGTAAGACTATATCATCAATGTTGAGTATGCATTATCTGAAATGCTTGGGACCAGAAATGTTCTTTTTGGGGGGGAGGGGGTGTCCAGTCGTGGGACCTGGACTCTGGGCCTGGGCGCTGTCCCTCAGCTCTTCAGCTCAAGGCTAACGCTCTAACACTTGAGCCACAGCGTCACTTCCGGCTTTTTTCTTTTTGCTTATGTGGTGCTGAGGAATCGAACCCAGGGCCTCATGCATGCAAGGTAAGTGCTCTACCACTGAGCCACCTTCCCAGCCCCCAGAAATGTTCTTAATCTCAGAATTTTTCAAATATACAAATATTTCCATACACTTTTCCTGGTTGAGTATTCCAAATCTAAAAATGCAAAATCAAGATGTTCCAAAATCCAAAACTTTTTTAATGACCTATCCATGCTTAAAACATTTCAGAATTGGAAGCATTTTGAATTTCAGATTTTTAGATTCTGAATACTCAGCTTGTAGTCATCTTTCAGGAGCTAGAATGGTGTTTGACACATGATTCTTTATTAGGGTGTAGGGTGAAGGCCATGTGTAACTGAGAGCTTAGGATCTAGCTCTCATCTTTGTAGAGAAGAAGTAATAGTTCCTCACAAGTGTTTTCTCTCTGGAGATCTGATAAACATGTTGAGTACCTAGTAGAATATAAGAGTAATGAGCCAGCCATTCCTAACTGGCCTTTTTGTCTCGTTAGAACTGATTGTGAACTGGGCACTGGTGTTTTATGCTGTGAGCCTAGCTATTTGGGAGGCTAAGGTCTGAGAATCAAAGTTCAAAGCCAGCCTCGGCAGAAAAGTCTGTGTCTCTTACCTCATTAACCAACAAAAAGCCAGAAGTAGAGAAATCGCTTAGAGTAGAGCACCAGCCTTGAGCAAAAAACCAAGTAATGGGGTGAAACCCCTAAGTTCAAGCCCCAGTACTACCCCCTCTCCCCCCAAAAAAAGAACTGAATGTGAGTGGAGAGGGATTAGCAGTTCTGTCTCACATCGAGTCATCCTCAAAATAGTTATCACTGTTCCTGTATTAATCCACTCAAGTTTTTATTTGTAAGCTCTGAGAGAAAAAGACTGTTAATTCATCATTAAATCTTTGACATCCAGCTTAGGGCTTGATTCATAGAAAATATCTAACAAATGTTTGCTAAATGAATAAGTGACAGTTTGATAATGTCTTAATTGTATTAGGTTCACCCATTTTTATGTTCTTGCCTGTTAGTGGAAATGACTGAGAATCGTGGGCTATTTTTCTTACCAGGATCCACTCTTAGAGGTAGTGTAGTATAATTGTTAACAGTTTCAAATTTCAGAAGCAGGTTGCAGGTAGGTGCTGATACTAATAGTATGACTTGGTAGGCTCTGATACTTACCAATTGTATTTAACTTCTGAGAGTCTAATCATTCATTTGTAAAAATGAATTAGCAATACCTACAACGTGAAATAATTGCAAAGAAAATACACAGTAGTATCTTGGTAAGTACATGATATGTTAGAATTTCTGAAATGATAGCTACTTTTATTAAAAATCTTTTGTAAATATACTTCATTCATGAAGGTTAAAAGCATTATTCTGTGGAGCTAGACTGCCTGGATTCAGATCCTAACCCTGCCTCTCACAGCTTTGTGGCAATAAGCCTAAAAATGGAGAAAGAAAATATTACCTGATCAAGTAAATTACATAACATGCTTAGAACAGTTCTGTGATATATAGTTGGTTGTCTATATGCAATATTGTAGGTAGGTATAACATTTTTAACTTTGGAACTCTTCATGTTGTTAAAGACAATCTTTAACAAAAATTTAGGTTGAAGTATAATGCCATTGTTACTTCTTTGACTAGTAATGCCAATATATAACATTTATGATGGTTGAAGGTGTAGCTTAAGTGACTACCACCTGAAAAGCAAGTACATGGCCCAGAGTCTAAACCCTAGTACTGCCCTCCAAAAAAAATTATCTTGCTGTGTGACTCCGTAGTAGAATGCCTGCCTAGCAAGCATGAGACCTTGAGTTCAGATCTTAGTACTTAAAAAAAAATTGCAGGGGAAGGGTTCAGGGAGGGGGCATTCCTGGGGCTTGAATTCAGGACCTGGGCACTTTTCTTATTGGTTCAAGGCTAGCACTCTACTATTTGAGCCACAGCTCCACTTCCTGTTTTTTTATATTTAATTAGAGATAAGAGTCTTATAGACTTCTTGTTCTGGATGGCTTCGAACTGTGATCCTCAGATCACAGCCTCCTGAGTAGCTAGGATTCCAGGCATGAAAAAAACTTTTTTTTAACAAATGTTTGGTATATGCTACAGCACTGTTAGAAACTTTGTAGATGTGGTATTTTTAACAGAACATTGAATGCTACTGTCAATGCCAGCTTCCAAGGAAACAACTAACGCTTAGAAAAGTAACTTGCCAAAAATCACACAATTAGCTAATTAGGGGCAGAAACATTCAAGACTAAACAATTTGACTGCTGTCTACATTTATAATCACCATATTACCTCCAAACTACTTAAAATCCCTAGGAAAGAGATCTAACTAGACCATGGTAGGCTCATGAAATCCCCACAGCTGTTGGTCATTTCCTGGGGAAACACAGTCCACAGAACAGTTAACCTGTTCTCTTTAAATACTGCCTTGGACAGTACTACAAAAGTATTCCCATAACATCTGGTGCTTTTACTTTATTTCTGCTTTCATTTTTTCTTACTTGGAATCGGCCAACACAGGAAAAGAAATTCTTCACTTTCAGTTTCCCACAGCTGTCACACATTAAGTTTATAAAGGAATTCTACACTATCCTTTGCAGAAGATCTTAATAATACTAAAGAGCAAAGTGACTGTTCCCTAAAGATTTTAGTGGAAGCTGGGTGCCGGTGGCTCACACCTGTAATCCTAGCTACTCAGGAGGCTGATATCTGAGGATTGCAGTTCAAAGCCAGCCCGGGCTAGAAAGTCTTTGAGACTCTTATGTCCAGTAAACCACTGAGAAAACCAGAAGTTGTACTATGGCCCAAGTGGTAAAATTTTAGTGAAACAAGAGAAATGAAAAGTAAAAGTAATGAATGAGGATGGATGATTATTTTCAAAGTACTTTGCATATATGTAGTAAATATCATATAATGAAACCTGTTAGAAATTGGCTAAAATGGGGAAAGTTGGCAAGGAAAAAAGGCTTTTTTGAACTCCAAATCTTTAGCAACAACAGCCATAGCAGTTTTATGTTTTAGAAGATGGTATAAGTTCTGGCTGGCATTCTACCACTTAAGACACATCCATTTTGAGGTTATTGCTGATTAATTAGAGCTAAATATCTTTTTCAATTTGTTGAAGATGGCTTTGTATGCTATCCTTGAGCTAAAGAATCTCAGGGACAGTGCCCAAGCCCTGAGTTCAAGCCACAGGACTCACACATAGAGATGGCTTTGTACTGAGATTCATACATCTTAGCCTCATGAGTAGTTAGGATTAAAAGTGTGAGCCATTGGCCACCAGCTTTTTCAATACAATATTTTATAGCCTCAAAGAGACTGTGGTGTGTGAAAAATAGTATATGTATAATGTATATATGTGCTTTCCTAAAAAAAAATTATGGACAAGGGGCCTACAGTACCTTTAGTCTAGATTTCTGTCTTGGTCCCTAATGAGTTTTGGTTTGGTTTGGTTTATTTTGTGATACTGTGTCTTTAAAAAGCTTGCTCAGATACCACTGCACTTGAGCCATGCTTCCAGGCTTTTGCTGTGCAAATGTAGATTGGAATCTTACAGACTTTTCTTTTTTTTGGGGGGAGGGGGGGGGAGGTCCGGTTGTGGGGCCTGAACTCTGGGCCTGGGCGCTGTCCCTCAGCTCTTCAGCTCAAGGCTAGCGCTCTACCACTTGAGCCACAGCACCACTTCTGGCTTTTTTTTCCTTTTTGCTTATGTGGTGCTGAGGAATCGAACCCAGGGCCTTGAGCAAGCAAGGCAAGTGCTCTACCACTGAGCCACCTTCCCAGCCCTCTAACAACTTTTCTACCCAGACTAGCCTCAAACTAAGATCCTCTGTTCTCGGTCCCTTGAGTAGCTAAAATTACAGATGTGAGCCATTAGTGTCAAATATGGATAACTTCCTATTTTAAAATGAAAATCATAGCAGACTATCCTCTCCTCTATTTCCAACCAGTTTGTATCATTTACGTAAGCAAGTCCAATTGAGTTGCAAGCACATTAACCATACTTTATAGCTTACTTCTTTAAGGAAGGAAATACTGTATGGAAGCCTTAAGAAATATTTTGGGTTAGGGGGAGAGAGATTTTGAGGTTGTAGGCCTACTTAAGTTGGTAGAATGCTAGCCAATGAAGGAAAGCATCAGATACCAAGCTCAAGTCCTGCTTTCAGACCAGTAAAACAAAACAAAAAACCCAGAAATATTGTCAGGTACTGATGGTTCATGCCTGTAATCTTACCTACTCAGAAGGCTGAGATCTGAGATTCACAGGCAGGAAAGTCTGTGAAATCCCTTATCCCCAATAAATTACCAAAAAAGCCAGAAGTGGAGCTGCTAGCCTTGAGCAGAAGAAACTCACAGACAACACCCAGGTCCTGAGTTCAAGCCCCAGAACTGGGGGGAAAAATGTTTTTCGTTATTTTGTATAGTCTGTATTTCTAATGTTTGAAGGGATATGTTTAGTTCTAAGTTATTATTTTCATTTTTTACTCTCATTCTGTCATGAATATGTAGGGGAGATTCTCAATGCCAGATGACATGATGCTATACCAGTGGGAAGGAAAGCAGACTTATAAATCCAGAAGGTTTTTGTTATTGTTGTTGTTTATTTATTAAGCCAGACATTGAAGAGATTTGCAGAATGTAAAACATTTCACTTATTTTTTGAGGACATAATTACATTTTTAAATGTTTTAACCATGAAATGGGTATATTTTTAATGAGTATTGTTTCATATTCTAATATTTTTTATTTTATTTTTAAAAATTTCTCTCAGTTTTATTTCATTTCCAACTTTTATGTAATTTGTCACTCCAGTTAGAAATATAGAAAGATGGTCATAAGATGGACAAGTTTTAGGGATCAAGTGTTCAGTATGGGTAATGGTGGCTATATGATGATAATCATTGCATTGCAGTGTTTTTTATTTCAAATCATATTGTTTACCTTGAATATATAATCTTTGTCAATTAGGTCTTCTAACAATTAAAAATTTTTATCCACATAAATGAAAGTTCTTTAGTGTTCTAAATTATTTTAAGAGTGTAAAAGATACGACCAAAAAGATTGAAGGTTGATATTCTATAACATAATGTTGTAGAGTCTATATATAAACTCCTTCTAAGTTGCTAGGAATTTGGCTTAGTGGTAGAGGGCTTGTAGAGCATGCATGAGAACCTGGGTTCAATTCCTCAGTACCACATAAGCCAAAAAAAAAAAAAAACCAAAAACAAAATTTTAAAAATAAACTCATTTTAGAAATAGTGTCTCTAGAGTTTATATATATCAGCATAGGTACTGTGATTTGAATGTGTTCCTTATCAACAGTGTGAGCTATAGAACTTTTAGGTCAGCTCAGTACAACTAGGAACTTAGCAGAAATTCAGAAGTCTGGGCCTTGTCCCAAACTTGCTGACTAAAATCTTTAACAGATTCATAGATGATTTGTAATGCTATTAAGTTTGAGAGGCTGTAATATCTATTATACCATACTAATATTTATTTTAATTCATCTTCATTCCCAAACAGATGAACCAACTATATAAATAAATATCTTCAGTACACATGTGTACTTTATTTATAAATACATATAGAATATGTATACATTTAGTTGGGTTATCAATACTCTATTTTCTTTTTTTTTTTTACCTTGAGGTTTAGGAATACAAAGCCTTGGATTTGGTTCATAGAATTTACTAACTTTATCTCCTTGGGCAAAACTTCAGCCCAATCTCCTCATTTGTAAATTGGGTAAATAGAGAATGTAAAATGTGTGTTGAAAACATTTCTAAATTACAACACACTGATGCATATTATACTGAGATTGCTTGAAAAATTACATTAGACATAATTACACATAACCTTTAAAAATTCTGATATATACTGAAACACTTAGTTTATATTCTAATATGTAGAACACTTAATTTATTTCATTCAAGCTTAGTACTAGTGAGAAGTAGCTGTATCCCCTGAAAGGAAGTGAGTCACTTGATTCTATGACCAACCTACAGTACAACCTCCAGCAGCCTTACATAAAAGTATATAAAGGAATTAGGAAAGCTTTATCTACAGTATGGCAACACAAACATAAAGCAACACAGGTTGTACCAGTAATATCTTATACGAAGGCCTTATTGAAAAGTCATTTTGAGAGCTACTCCCTCTAGTGGCTATCTGGCAACAATCTTAATAAGTTTATATATCTGATTTTAACATTGCTGTTTGTCTTTGACACTCTGTTTTAGGTCAGATTACAAGCAATATGAAAAACAAAGTTCTAGTATTAGCTATGATAATACATTTTAAGCCATGTGCTAGATGAGGAGTCAAAATGGAAATCAAAATTATAAAGTATTAAAAGCCAAAAAAAAAAAAAAAAAAGAGGAAAATACTGGCTAGGGATGTAACTCAGTGGTAGAGCACTTGCCTGGCATGCACAAGGCTAAGAGTAGATGTAAAAAAATGGGGCATAGTGGTCCATCCCTATATTCCAAGAGGCAGCAGGACCCATGAGTTCAAGGCCAGCTCCTGAAGTGCTAGAAAAATGCTTGGGGGTGAGGGGAGGCACCTTAGGGGATGGCTTGGATCATAGCTCAAGTGAGCTTGACACCCACAATTCTATGTTACTGCAAATGATGAAAGAAATGTCAATAATTACAATACTTGATATTAGAAAGATGCAAGCTAACATTTATCTGACAAGATTTCTATTTTAGCCTGCTACATTTTTCCTTTCTCAGTCCAAAATTGTACAGACAAGTCACTCAAAAATTGGGGTACCAATTTTTGGGGTGCCAAAACCTGGTAGCTGACTCAAAATACATGACTGTTAAGTTACACTTGGCACATACTGTTTTTACAGTACTGGGGTTTGAACTGAGGGCATCATATTTGCTAGGCAGGTCCTCTACTACTTGAACTATGCCCCAGCCCCCAATGTATACTTCTTGACTTGAAAGACTGGTACAATTGTTTATTACCTTGAAAAGAAGTTAAATATTATGGGTTTTATATGTAATTTTATAATCTGAAATATTGAAGATTCTACTAAAGTTAAAAATGATTAAAAATGAAATTAGTTAAGTATTTGATATATAAAGATTTCAAGATTATTACTCTTTCTCTACATGCACACAATTTTTCATCAGCTTCCTATCAATTCAATATCGCAAGTATTATGCATAAAGAAATTCCAAAGTTATTGAAGTTACTAAGAATATTTGTAGCCGGGTGCTGGTGGCTCACGCCTGTAATCCTAGCTACTCAGGAGGCTGAGATCTGAGGATCTCGGTTCAAAGCCAGCCCGGGCAGGAAAGACCGCGAGACTCCTATCTCCAATAAAAAAACACCAGAAAACCGGAGGTGGCGCTGTAGTTCAAGTGGTAGAGTGCTCGCCTTGAGCTGAAGAGCTGAGGGACAGCGCCCAGGCCCAGAGTTCAAGCCCCACGACTGACAAAAAAAAAAAAAAAAGAATATTTGTATAAAATATTTTAATTTTTTTTTTCACTTTTCAGGTTTAACTAACTTCTTCAAATGAAAATGGATTTTTTTTTGGGGGGGTGGGGAGGGGTCCAGTCATGGGTCCTGAACTCTGGGCCTAGGCGCTGTCCCTCAGCTCTTCAGCTCAAGGCTAGCGCTCTACCACTTGAGCCATAGCGTCACTTCCAGGTTTTTTTCTTTTTGCTTATGTGGTGCTGGGGAATCGAACCCAGGGCCTCATGTATGCAAGTCAAGCGCTCTACCACTGAGCCACCTTCCCAGCCCCAATGAAAATGGATTTTAATGATCATCTTGGTACTTTCTTCGCCCCACTTTTCTAGGTTTAATTGTCCAAAATGTGGCTATACTAGTGAAGCTGAAAATGCCAGTTACAGATATAAACTTTCTGTAAAAGTTGCAGAATCAAACAAATTGTTTGTCATCACTGTATTTGGGAGCTGCTTAGATACATTTTTTGGTCTTACTGCCACTGCTTTGCACAGGTAAGAATATTTTAAAACACTCTTTTTCCTATACTATATAAATAAAATTGGAAGTGTTTTAAAGCTAATGTAATTTCAATAAAAAGATGATCTTTTGACTCAAGGTCATCAATTCCCTTAAAAGATAATCAAATGAGCCCTGTGTGGTGGCTCACGTTGTAATCTTGGATACTTGAGGGCTAAAAGAGGACTGGTTCTAGGCCATTCCTGGGAAAACAATCATGAGGCCCTCCATGTCAACCAAAAAGGTTGAATATGGTAATGCTATATCTGCTATGAAGCATGTCTAAATTGGAGGATCCGAGGATAGAGACCCAGTTTGAAAAATCTAAAGCAAAAAGTGCTTGGAGCATAGTTCAAGTGGTACAGTACCTATCTAGCAAATAGGAGATCTTGAATTCATACCTAGTACCACCAAAAAAAATAATAATAACTGGGAAAGAAAACTGTGTTTACTGATACATACCAGGTTGCTGTTACTTCTATTAGAGTAAGCTTTTATAAAAGTATTATAAAACTTCAATTTAGAGAAATTTAGATAAGATAAAATCTAATGTGTGTACATGTTTACACATACCAGTATAGGAGCTTGAACTAAAGGCCTCTCACTCTAGCTTGGCTCTTGTAACTGGTATTCTGCCCCTTGAGCCATGCCTCTAGTTCCACTTTTTTGCTAATCAATTGAAAATAATCACTTAGATCTGTCTACCTGGGCTGGCTTTCAACTGTGATCCTCATATCTCAATCTCCTGAGTAGCTAGATAAAATGGTTTTAAACTGTAGAGCTATTTAAAGGGAAGTTAATATTTCACTGCTTATGGTCTCCTTAGAAAGTTTTTTGAGGGAATATTTGCATATCAGAAGTCAAAATTTTATTATTTCTTTCACTTACACTTTCTCCACACAATTTGACCTAATAAAATAGTCCAGGTATCCTGACAATGTAAGAGCCTGCATAAATAACTAAATTTTCTGCCCTTTACCTTCTGCCTTCTTCCCTCATCACTTAGCAGATGGAAATCTATGTTCATGTCTTTGTAATTGAGGGCAAACTGATTTGAAGGAGGGGATACTAGAGGAACCAGAATTGCCAGAAAGGAAAAACCATTACTTTGCTACTTTTTTTTTCTAGTGTAATTGCTGAGCCTGAAGATTAGGCAAGCATCTATTTCATTCACACTTGATTGAATAAATTTTGGTGGACTTTCAATTTTTTTGTCTCTCTATGCAAGGAGAAACTGAACACAAAATACATACCTTATAGAATTGTGCGTGCATGCACACAGTACCTGCGCCACAAATGAACTCAGACCAGAATACTCTCTGAGCTTCTTTTGCTCAGGGCTAGTGTTCTACTACCTGAGCCACTGCTCCACTTCCAGCTTTTTTAGTTTATTGTTGATAAGAGTCTCATGGATTTCCCTGCCTGGACTAGCTTCAAACCACAATCCTCAGATCTCAGCCTCCTGAGTAGTTAGGATTGCAGGCATGAGCAACCAGCACAGGCACTATAAAATCATTTTCCTCTGTATGTAACTGCATTTTTTTAACTAAGTCTTCTGACTTGATTACAACTTAAAATTTCAAAGCTTCTCTCTTTACTATTTTTATTTTGTTTCCAAGGTATATTCAGAATCTTAAAGTTCCAAAGATACTGGATAATGATACAACTCAGAACCTGTTAACTAAAGCAGTTGAAACATGCTTTCTTGGACAAAGCTTTGTTTTTGGAGTGACGGTAATTAAAACTAACTTTCTTTTTTGCATTCTCTTAGTTCCCATTTAATGAAATAATTTGAATTTACAAAGTCATTTTAAGGTGTTGTGTAAGTTTGAAAATATATAGAAGTACTTTAAAAATATCCTATAGATGATATGTTTAAACTTCGTAGGTGACAACTTCCTTGTTAAAAAGTCAGAAAAGCCCAGGTCAAATGTTTTTAAAGTTTTAAAAGTATGAATTTGTTGTAAATTCAGAAAAGTGTTAGATATTTAATTTTGATATTTGGTTTTTATTTCACTCTGAATTTTCTTCAAAGTATCATCTCTCTAATTTTTAATTTTATTTTGTTTGAAAGGGAAAGGGGGGAGTAACACAGACAAATCTCTTTGAGTATTGATAAAAATATTAAGAAGAGGCTAAGTTGAAGGGTCTTAAAATGATCTTAATTATAAAAGGGACCATAGAAAGAGTTATAGCTGGGCGCCGGTGCTCACACCTATAATCCTAGCTACTCAGGAAGCTGAGATCTAAGGATCACAGTTCAAAGCCAGCCTGGGCAGGAAAGTATGAGACTCTTATCTCCAATTAACCACCAGAAAACCTCAAGTGGTAGAGTGATAGCCTTGAGCTGAAAAGCTGAAGGACAACCCAGGCCCAAAGTTCAAGCCCCACAACCGACAAAAAAGAAAAGAAAGCGTTATATACAGACTCTAAAGGAGTAATAGTTTTAACTACAGGGAACAAATGGAGATACCCATTGCAAAATCAGGATTTAAAAATGAGAGAATAAAGCAATCCACAACTGAAGAGTAAGGAAAAAGTCAAGAGGATGAAAAGGAGTTATAGAGCTTTACTTGTTTTAAATATTAGAAGGTTGGCTTTTCAATTTTCTTTCTCTCAAATACAGTGGTAGTTGCTATTTAACAACTGCTGTTTGCTGAGAACTGTTCAATTTTATTGTTGTTAAATAATCTTCATTTTGTAAATGAGAAAACAGAAACTTAAAATGATTAAAAAACTTGCCCAGGTCCCAACTACTAGAAAGTGCTGGAACAAAGACTTGAAGATGTCTCTTTATTCCAAGATTTATATTCTTTTACATATGCTATTCTCCTTATAACACTAAAGGAAATTAGAAGCATTATGGTTATATTTCATTAAAGCTTTAAGTCCTTGTTTCTTAATTTGAACCAAAGGAAGAAGTTGTTATTCTCATTTAAATTCATTTACTCTTTTGTAGAATTTTGAAAAACAATGTGGACATGGTTCTGATTCCAGTAACTTCTTATACCAGTGTTACGACCACAAAAGAGAAGTCCAAGCACTGGTAGCTTGCCAGATTGTTCGACCAGACCCACATGTTGCAGGCTTCACTGTTATTGACTACTTCCATCATCTTTTGCAGTCTTCCAATTCAAAGGAACCGGAAGGCCACTCATCTAGTGATCTCAGCAGCATACATGGCTCTGATAGCACTTCCTATCTTGTGGAGTCCCATAACAGTAATAATTTTTTAACATTCTGGCAACCATCACTTGAACTCACTTCCATTGTCTCACAACTAACAGAAAATGGTGAATTTTCAGCTTCAGAACAAAACATGGCCATTGGGACTCTTCACCAAAACAGCAAGTATACCTCCTTTGCAGAGATCACTGGTACCAGTAGCAGCCATGATCCCACGCAGGGCTCATGGAGCTTTGTTTCATATATGGATAAAAACAGTACAGCAGAAAAGAAGGGTAAGGATAGTCATTCCCACCAGCACTTTGATATAGATACCATCACTGGCCTTCACAAGAAATCTACATGCTGTCTGCCTTCATCCCGCAGACCTGAAGAGACAGCTGGCTGTTACCAGGATTGTGATTCTATGATTTGGGATGATCTGCCATTGTCTGAAAGTCTGAACAAGTTTTTGGCTGTTATTGAAAGTGAGATTGCTGTAACCCCAATAGATGCCAAAAGAAGGAAGTATGCTATAGGACGTAACACCCATAAATGTGATGCAGACCACAATGGATCATCTGTGACTTTGCAGATTGCTACCAGAGCAATACCACCTATATCTTCATCATTAGAAGCAACAGTCAAAGAAAGCTCCAGCAAAAATAACTACTTGTCCAACTGTGAAGCGAATGCTAGTGCTAGTATTCAAAAGGATTTATACCCAGATAATACAGCAGACCCTATTTCTTTAAGCAGTAATCCTATTTCTTTAAGCAGTAATAAAAAAGATATTTCAGAATATTTCCTATCAAAAACTTACCTGTCAGCTCAGTTTCTCCCTTCACAAGATTTAGAAACAACAATTATTCTTAAAAAGACTTCCAGGATTTTCTCACATAGGGATGAAATTTCCCTTAGGCCCCAAACTTTAGGGAGTGACCATTCTTATGTCAGTGCTAAATACCTTAATACATGTGGAGGACAGTCACATTCAGAAATGAAAGAAATGGTGACAACATTGTGTCCCAAAAAGTACAATGGTGTTTCTGGTCCTTGCAAATTAGAAAAGAAGCAGTATTACAAGTGGCCTAGGAACCAAGATGACAGTTTTACAATTTGCAAAAAACTTACATATCCTTTAGAAACTCTTCATGATAGTCCAAATAGAAGTACTAATACACTGAAAGAAATGTCTTATGGACATACCAATACTACCTTAACACAGAGCTATTCTGCTGATCTTGAAGGTAGCTACAATGCTTCTGCCGATCTCTTCAATAATATTGCCAAAAATATGGATACTGCAACAGAAATTACAAAGAGATCACAGGATGTTTTGTTACAGGGGGAAACATCTTTGACTGAAAATTGCCCTGCAGAGTATAATATTCTACCAAGATCACACTCTGCAAACTCTAGCCAGTCTTCACAAAAAGTCTTCTTACAAAGCCTGTCAGCCTCTAGGTATCCAAGAACATGCTCACCTCCACCGCAATTTCACTCAGATTCAGAATATGATTTTGAAGATAGCCAAGACTTCATTCCCTGTTCACAGTCAACACCAGTTGCAGGATTCCACCGAACAAGAATCCATGGGATAAATGGAACTTTCAGAAACTTAACTGCCTTTTACTGCAATTGTGATGCTAACGATAAAAAAATACAAGTTCCTTCTGAAAATGACAAACAGCGAATTATTCCAAGCTGTCCAGAAAATTTTAAAACACCTACCCAGAAGTCCAGAAGTCACATTACGTCGAGAATTACACCACCAGAGGTTTTCAATCACTCTCCAATTGCTGAGTGCCTTAAGACTGATAGTGATGAATGGGTACCTCCTACCACACAAAAAGTATTTATTTCAGATACGCTTGGATTTCAAGTCATGGCTCTAAGGAAATGCCTTGCTGCCAATAATTCCTCCAATCAAAAAGAGTTACCGAGAAAGAAACAAAAACAAGTCAAACAAAAAGCCAGTGTGTGTTTAATTAAGAAGGAATTTAAAAATAGGAGTAAAGCAAAACAGAAAAGTCCTAAATGTAACTCTGAAAGGTCAGTCTGCATTTCCAAAGAGTCAGTTCTTGGACTTGATTCTTTTTCAGATGTTAGGTCTTGCCTTCCATTTTCAGAAAACCGCCCACCTTTCATGGCTGAGAGCACCTGGTCACCTGAATTGTTTTCATAAAAAGTCATTGAACACAATGTTTGGAAACTTTTTGGCCTCCAGTGGCATAAGAGGTAATTCTTTACATTTTGAACTCTTGGAGAAAAGTAAAGAAAAACGTATGTAGTAATACTGATCCTTTAAAAATTTAAATACATTGTTTCCCCTGCCTGTGCACTTTATCTTATACTGTTGACTATAGTTTAAAAATCTCAGGTATATATAGAAATAAAGCCTTTGAAGAACAGACATAAATCTTAAATTGTTCTGATATCAGAAACAGCAGCTATGTAGTAAATCAACTATCCTAAGTTTGTGAGATAAAGCTAAAAGACCACTTAATTGAAAAGATTTTAGTATATTGGATAAGAGTCTGGTAAACAGGGCTGGGAAGGTGGCTCAGTGGTAGAGCGCTTGCCTTGCATGCCTGAGGCCCTGGGTTCGATTCCTCAGCACCACATAAGCAAAAAGAAAAAGACAGAAGTGCGGCTGTGGCTCAGGTGGTAGAGCGCTAGCTTTGAGCTGAGAGCTGAGGGACAGTGCCCAGGCCCAGAGTTCAGGCCCCACGACTGGACCCAAAAAAAAAAAAAAAAAGAGGTAAACAATTTAAGTGAGACCCTTTACTCACGGCTTGGTCTGATAGAAGCAGAATACACAGATGGTTGGAAGCCTGCATATTCTATAACAAGTGTGTTTGGAGTGAGAACAGTAGCCCAAATCAACAGCAGTTTCCAGACCTTCCTCTGCACCTATGAAGTCTTTTATCTATTCTTTGCTTTTCTCTTCAACTATTCCAAATCTTCGCTCTCTTTGCTCTCTCCAGCCAGTTGCCTGCTCTTTGCTCCACCTTATGGGGAATATTGAAAACATCTGGCATTCCCTTCTTCATACCTATACAATACTCAGAACGCCACTGCTTCTAGTCTCAAAGGGATGCACACCATCTTAGTGGTCATCTGTCTGGGCTAGTGAGTCCTTATAGCTCTTTTTGGAATCTTGTTTGTTTTGCCAGTCCTAGGGCTTGAACTCAGGGCCTGGATACTGTCCCCGAGTTCTTTTTGCTCAAGGCTGACACTCTACCACTTGAGCCACAGCACCACTTCTGGCTTTTTCAGTTGATGTTATACTGAGGAATCGAACCCAGGGCTTCATGCATGCTAGGCAAGCACTCTATCACTCAGCCACATTCCCAGCCCCTCTGTTGGAATCTTAATATCAAATATTTCCTCCTGTATTTTTAACTCCTTGCTCTACTTTTGGTCTCTCTCTACACCCAACCTTTTGCTTTAATAATTTACAAATGAGTTAACAGAATAGTATAATAATGTAGCATCTGATCATACCACCTGGATTCAGTCATGTTCAACATTTTGCCTTTTGTATATGTGCATATATGCAGAGTCTGATTTTTTTTTTTACCAAGATCATGTTCTGAAAACCATACAGTTTTCAAAAAAAAGTCTTCTTACAAAGCTTGTGTGCCTAGATAGAGAATTTTGGGTTTGTTGATTTTTAAAATTTATTTGTTGGTCATGGGGCTTGAACTCTGGGCCTGGGTGCTGTCCCTCAGCTCTTCAGCTCTACCACTTCAGCCACAGGGCCACTGCCAGTTTTCTAGTGATTAATTGGAGATAAGAGTCACATGGACTTTCCTGTCGGGCTGGCTTTGAAGTGGGATCCTCAGATCTCAGCCTCTCGAGTAGGTAGGATTACAGGCATTAGCCACCAGTGCCTAGCCTGTTGAATTCTTTAGAGGTAAACTAACAAGTAAGACATTTTATCCTTGAATGGTTCTGCATAAATTTCCTTTAAAGAAGGGCTGCTTTCCACATTGCTACAATATTATCATTATATTAAAAAATATATATCAGGCTGGGAAGGTGGATCAGTAGTAGAGCGCTTGCCTCACATGCATGAGGCCCTGGGTTCGATTCCTCAGCACCACATCAGCAGAAAAAAAGCCAGAAGTGGCACTGTGGCTCAAGTAGTGGAGCACTAGCCTTGGGCTGAAGAGCTGAGGGACAGCGCCCAGGCCCATAGTTCAACCCCACAGCGGACAAAAAAAAAAAAAAAATAGAGCTGGTGGCTTATGCCAGTAATCCTAGCTACTCAGGAGTTTGAGATCAGAGGATCACAGTTTGAATCTAGCCTGGGCAGAAAAGTCCTGTGAGACAACCACTCAAAAACTAGAAGTAGGTCTGGGAAGGTGGCTCAATGATAGAGTGCTTGCCTAGCAAGCATGAAGCCCTGGGTTTGATTCCTCAGCACCACATAAGCAGAAAAAGCCAGAAGTGGTGCTGTGCCTCAAGTGGTTGAGCACTAGCCTTGAGCTGAAGACCTGAGAGACACTACCCAGGCCCAGAGTTCAGGCCCCACAACCAACCAAAAAAACATGAAAAAAAAAATTAAACAAAAACTGGAAGTAGCACTGTGGCCCAAGTGGCAGAGAGCATCAGCCTTGAGCACGAAAAGGCTTAGGAACAGTGCCCAGGTCCTGAGTTCAAGCCCCACAACCAACCAAAAAAAAAAATTCTTAAACATCTTCCAATATTCCATATTCAAATTTTTCCTAATTATTTTCGGATTATGATTGTTGATGTTAATTAACCAGGATTTCATCAAGTTTCTTCTGTGGGTTTTGGTTATCTTCTCCCTTTCCCTGGGTTTTTTGTTCATTTGGTCTTGCTGGTCCTAGGTCTTGAAATCTGACCCTGGGCTGTACCTGCACTTTTGCTCAAAGCCAACACTCTTCCACTTGAGCCACAAGGCCAATTCTGGCTTTTTTGTGTAATTAGAGATAAAAAAAAAAAAAAAAAAACTCACAGATTCCTGCTGGACCTGGCCTTAAACTGAAATGCTCAGATCTCTGAGTACATAGGATTATGGAGTAAACCACTGCACCCAGCTATTTGGTTGTCTTTGTTCTCTTGTTCGATCATCTTTATGAAGAAAAATCAAAACAAAGTTTTGCAAAGTCCTGTGTTCTAAATCTGAACATTTGGTTCCTTGTTCTTTTAGTATCTTATCCCTGTGTCCTTCAGGATATCTCATTAGGAGGCACAATATCATAAAGTTAATATTGCTTAAGATGTTGCCTGTTATATGGTCTCTTTGAATTTGTTTTTTGTTTACTTTTGAGGTTTTTGTTTCTAAGGTACTACTTTCATGGTTTCTAGTTTCTCCTAGGATTTGCTCTTTTTTTTTTTTTTGAGGGGGGGGCGGTTGTAGGGCCTGAACTCTGGGCCTGGACACTGTCCCTCAGCTCTTCAGCTCAAGGCTAGCGCTCTACCACTTGAGCCTCAGCACCACTTCTGGCTTTTTTCTTTTTGCTTATGGGGTGCTGAGGAATGGAACCCAGGGCCTCATGCATGCAAGGCAAGCTCTCTACCACTGAGCCACCTTTCCAGCCCCGTTTTATTCTTTTTTTTACCAGACTCCCTGTAGGTCAAGTGTTGCTGCAGTACTCCTCCCTAAATAATTTGTCAAAAATGTGTTACAGCCAGGCACTGATGGCTCGTGCCTGTAATCGTAGCTACTGAGGAGCCTAAGATCTGAGGATCTTGGTTCAAAGCCAGCACAAACAGGAAAGTCCATGAGACTTACCTCCAATAAACTACAAAAAAGCCAGAAGTGGATCTGTGGCTCAACTGGTAGAGCACTAGAATTGAGCAAAAAAGTTCAGGAACAGGGCCCAAGCCCTGAATTCATGTTCAAACCCTAAAGCCAGCACCCCCCCCCCCCAAAAAAAAATACCCAAAGTCACAAATCCATGTAAGGTAGAATGGTTTATCAATGAAGAGCAAAAGGGTTTAGTCTATAGTCAACGTGCTCCATTGCTTTTATGCTTATGACAAGGCAAAACCTCATCTCACCCAGGAAGCATAGAAAATAAAGAGGCAGAGTCTGCTATGAGATATATCCTTCAAATGCATAGCCTCAGTGACCTACTTCCTCAACTAGACTTTACCTCCTACTTTCTACTACCTCCCAATGCCATCAAGTTATGAAGCCATCACTGGATTATTCCATTGATTAGGCTTGAACTCTCATGATCCAATCACTTCAAGGAAGTTCATTTCTGAACATTACATTAGGTATCAAGCCTTCACATGAGCAATATGAGTAGCTACCCAGGCTGCTAGTATTCACAGTGCCATGGCTTTCCAGAACTATTGATATTGGACTGCAATTTTTATACCATTTCTTTATGTTGATTACGTCATCCATAATATTATCGTTGTACCACTGGGAATATTGTTTTCCAATGAAAACAGTTTATTAACTCATTGGTGAGTTCAAAAAGGCACGTACTTGGGTTAGGAAGGTAACTCAGTGGTAGAGCTACTGAGGAGCCTAAGATCTGAGGATCTTGGTTCAAAGCCAGCACAAGCAGGAAAGTCCATGAGACTTACCTCCAATAAACTACAAAAAAGCCAGAAGTGGATCTGTGGCTCAACTGGTAGAGCACTAGAATTGAGCAAAAAAGTTCAGGAATATTGTTTTCCAATGACTCAGTTTATTAACTGTCATTGGTGAGTTCAAAAAGGCACGTACTTGGGTTAGGAAGGTAACTCAGTGGTAGAGTGCTTGCCTTGCATGCATGAGGCCCTGGTTTCGATTCTCAGCACCACAAGTAAAAAAGCCAGAAGTGGTGCTGTGGCTCAAGTGGTAGACTGCTCACCTTGAGCTGAAGAGTTAAGGGACAGTGTCCAGGCAGAGTTCAGGCTCCATGACTGCCAAAAGCAGAAAAAGGCAAGTACTATTCAGTGTGCTTGAAAATGAATATATTTTCTACTTATTTACCATGTAGACCTCTGTAGCACAAACACTAAACATGTAGGCCAACCATAGCCTCTCAGATGTCTTAGGCTACAATACAATAGTCTCTTGATATTGTGGGTGTATGGTTCTGGGGAGACTACTCTTGAAAAACCACAAGTGCTCAGGTGCACAAAATTCAGTACTCTAATGTGGGTGCTTGATTTATTTTTCCCATAAATCTGCCTTTCAACGAATTTAAATTTTGGGCATTGGCACTTACATTAATTACACAATGCGCCCTTTGATTTAGGGGAATTACTGTAACTTTTGCCTTGAATTTTAGACACCACATGCTTTTTGGAGGCATGTTTTTACAAAATTGAGGA